GGTTTTTGGGCCCTGATTGATTTACATCTTGTGGTAATAGATGCTACAGTACCGTTACGAAACTATTCCGTCGGGATTTGTAACAGCTACAAACCCGATAACATGGTTCTGTGACGGGACCATAGCATTTCTCAATATTGTAATAAAACCCACTTGTAATATGATTAACTATTGAAATGATATTCAACTCCTTGGACTGCAACCCTTCATGAATGATTAGAGTGATAATGTGTAGTGATTGGCCAAAAGCTGCAATTTGGTAAGACTTGTATATTTTAAGATTTTATTATATGCTCTAAAATAAAATTCAATCTCCATCAAATATTTTTTTTTTCTATAAAAAAAAATGTTTCGAGACAATCTTGGCTGGCAGCGGCATAGCTACGACTGTTTTTCGTCATGGTTTGTTATATGTTCGAATCAAATTGTTAGCTAATAATTTTGTTCAATCCATGAAAACTCGAGCTTCACAAATTCATATTAATTCAATAACTGGAATCAATCAACGATTTGAGCAAGACAAGTCGCGCTGAATCATGTTCGTAAATATTCTTTAGATACTAGTATTCGTCAATCTTAATTAATATTTCCACGTACTCCAATTTCGTATATGCGGCTACTTTATAGTATGATTAGTGAAGATTTAATGGCTATTTGACTAAATAAAACATAAATGAGAATTGAACTTGATAGTACAAGAAATACATGACGTTAGTCTGAGGACATGTGGCGATGATGTATGCTTTGACGTCCTCCTTAGTGCATCTCCTTTGCTTCGACACCTACAAAACAGAGCTCCAGAGTTGTCCTTAGAGGTAGATCTTCCGATACTTATGTTATAATATGTTTAAGGTGGCGACTGTAGAGTATGAAAAGAAGAGGAGTGTGTTTGTCTCATTTCCTTGACCTAGGTCGTCCTTTTTTAGAGGTCGAATGACCTAGGTCTTTCCTCTGCAGATTGAGGACTTCTCGCCCAATAGCTTGATGGACTATAGTTCACTAATTGGGCTATCTCGGGACCTTGGGCTTAAAAGTGAGGTTCCTCAGGATGTTGGGCTTGAAATTGAGGTTGGACCTTAGCATAAACCTTGGACACTAACGGTCATCGGAACAAATGACCTAAATCGACCGATTTTTCTCCTTTCGGTTCTAAAAATCGATTAACTAGGTTAGAATGGTGACCAATCAACTAACCCTAGGTTAAATACAACTCGAATAGATTGAACAATTAACAAGCACGTAATCGAAACGAACCGAAACAATCATTCCCTATCCCTAACTAATGGATTAGCCACTCATTGCAATCTCAACACATACATTCACAATTAAACAAGCCATCATATTCATACACAAAATGAAAAAAAAGTGCTTACGATTAATTTCAAATCTAATGTCGAAAAAATAACGAGCAATCCAAATCCTAAATGATTAATCTTGGAGTTTTTACTCTTCAAGATTGAATCCAAGTGAAAAACCAAAAGAAAAGATGTTATGCTATGGAAAAATTTCGAAACACAAAGTTTGGAATGGGTAAAAACTGCCCTAGGCTAGATCTAATATGTCCCTAATTCGAAAATCCGCTAAAATCGCAAACAGGGGTTAGCGGCGCTATCCCCTTAGCGTCGCTAAGGTGAAAATACTCCTTCCGTCTAGGGTCGTTAACGAGGTGTAGCGCCGCTAACTAAGCCGACCTTAGCGGCGCTAAGGCCTGAGCAGCTCCAAAAACTTGATGTTTCGGGATCGGATGCTCTTGGCTAGCATCTCCCGGGTCTTTCTTGAGTTGGGATCTCGATTCCCACATGTTTGGTCACACGAATCGGTATGGAACTCCTGGGAACCGATACAGAATACTTTTCTCTTGTCCAAAACCTGAAACCACCACAACCAGAAAAACCACAAAAAAAAAGAGAAAATAGGAAGAAAAACAGAGAAAACACTAAACACGCCAAAACAAGACTGAAACACGAGAAACGACTAGTAAGACCGGAAATTCCTAAGAAACGACCTAAAACAGGAAAAATGTCAACAAAATACCAGCAGAAATGGCAACAAAAATGGGACAAACAAAGGTCAACACATGATTATATTATTTGAGGAAAATGTAGCATCTTTCATAATTTTGAAAAGGAAAAGTATGAAGGTTTCTCCTTAACGATGTGATTTGTCTTGTGAAATAGTGCGTCCGTCAAATGGGATTTTTCCACGTGTAGGATGTGGCGTGAAAAGGGACGTTCTCTATCGAAACGTCTCATCTGTTTATTACTGCAGTTAGTGTGCAGATCAAGGTTTTTTTATGATATTTTTATAGTAAAAAGAGTGGACCTTTCCTTTTTTGACAAAAGTTCTTCTTCTTCTTCTTCTTCAAAAAAATTCTTGAGAGATGGGGAGAGTGGAGATGCTTGATGATTTACGAGAAATGTCCCCGTCATGAGGTCCATATGGATGAGAGGGCTTGTTCTTCTGTCGAGAATGTTTGGGATCATTCGTCTTGAGAAAAACTGACGCTTGCTTCCAAAGTAGAAAAGTCGGCAGCGACCCCTGAGGGTGATGGGGTTCCCTCAGAGATGCTTCCTTTTGGGAGTCAATTACTTCCAGATCCAGCGGTAGAAGCTATAGCGTTCGTGGCGGATAGCATGCAATCTCTAATGAGTAAGGCTACAGTGTTGCGGGAACGGCATGAGGCCTGTTAGGCGGAGATCAAGCAGCTAAAGGAGGCTGTTTTTATCATTTTCTATATTATTATATTATATTGACTTATTTATATCATTTTGTGGCATAATGTGCATGTGCACATGTTGATAATTTATCAAATAAAATAACTTGTAGAATTGATATAAATATATAATATAAGGGAAAATAAACTAGAGCATATTTTATAGGACGCCGTAATAGACATAATGCATCAACTTAATAATGAATATTTTATTACTTCTGTAACTGAGGTCTCGTTTACTAGAGATGATGAGATTTGATAAATTAATCCCTCCAATTTATCACATTAGATTTTGGATACAAATTGTCCCATGTTTACCAAATTGGATAAAAGTCAATGATAAATACATTAAATTACTGATTTAATTAACTAAATTAATATTTTTTATAAATTAAATAATATTATTTTAAATTAAATAAAATTATTTATATTAAAAAATATTTTTAAAATAAATTAATTAAATTAATATTTTATAGATTAAATAATATTATTTAAATTAAATCAAATTATTTTAGATTAAATAATCTCATTTTAAATTAATGAATTATTTTAAATTCAATGAAATATTTCATAAATTAAATAATTATTATTTTAATTAAATTTAAATTATTTATATTAAACAATATTTTTGAAATTAAATTAAATTATCTACATTACTATTTTATAAATTAGGTAATTTATTAAATTACGTGAAAATAAATATAAATATATAAGCAGTTGAAACTATTTCCCCCACGACCGCCCGATTAACAAAATTATTTTATATTAATATTATTTTAATTAAATAATTCTATTTCAAATTAATTAAATTATTTTATATTAAACAATAGTTTTTAAATTAAACAAAATTATTTAAATTAGTACTGTATAGATTTTATAATATTATTTTAAATTAAAATAAAATTATTTAGATTAAATAATATTTTTTGAATTAAGTAAAATTATTTTAAATTAAATAAAATTATTTGAATTAATATTTTATAAATTAAATAATATTATTTTAATTAAACTAATTTTTTAATTAACTAAAATTATTTAAATTAATATTTTATAAATTAAATAATATTATTTTTAAATTAAATAAAGGTCATTTAAAACCATTGATAATTTTATCACAACGACCGAATTTATTTATCCCACCAACAAAGATACACGCGTGCACCGACTCACGCTACGTTGTCTATCACCTTATCCTAATCCTATTTAGTAAACGAGGACCAATATCCATCCTATCAAAGGTTAGTAAAAGAGACCTACATCGATTTAGTATGTTCTTTAGACATTCAAATAGAGAAATAATAATTTGAAAGAGCATCAAATAGCACCTTTTACATCATCGGCCCTTCGGCTCTCTCATCGGTCAACGGCGTGTGGACTGTGGACGATAACTTCGGCGATAGTATAGACGTCGACAAGCCGAATGAAATACAATAATTGAAGGTCTCTTTTTATCCCTCAATTGCTTCTGTCGCGGACTTCGAATTGAACTTGTGCAGACAAAGATGAAGATCAGTGTAATGACCGTCGATGAACAAATCGTCACGCTGGATGTCGATCCGCACGAATCTGTAATCTACTTTATTTGATACCCTTTAAACCCAAACCCCCATTGTTTGCCCCCTCTTCTTCTGGGGCATTGAATGTTCGAAAGATTGCATTTTTATGTTCTTTTTCTGATTAGTAACGTCATTGTATTTTGCATCGGAAACAGGTGGAGAACTTGAAAGCTCTGCTGGAGGTTGAGGTTAGATGAAACCCTTCTTCTAATTTTGCTGTTTTTGTGGTTTTTGTTTTGCCTTTTGTTACCTTTTTGAAGTTGTTGTTCTTTTTTACTTCTTATTATGTTGTTTATCAACTGAATTGGATTGAACATGAATGAACAGACTCAGGTGCCTCTGCAACAACAGCAGTTGCTATATAATGGAAAGGAGATTACAAATTCTGAGAAATTGAGTGCCGTTGGAGTTGCCGATGGAGATTTGGTTATGATGGTTCCAAAGAACTCATCTTCAAGTTCCAGGTATCATATGATAACCAATCTGCAGCCGCACATCAATCTTTGGAGTTTATCAGTTATGTTTGAGGCTCTAACAATGTTTCTTTTTAAAGCTAAACGATCTACCATTTTAAGTAGCTGTTTAGTAGATGTAGACCATGTTAATATGATGAGTGCTGTAGTGTCATTGCCATTAGTTTGTTTCCTTTTTGGTTAAACTCCGTGGAAGTTTTTTTCTTTGCTCATCGGTTGAGTTCTTGTATATGATCTGTTGTAGAGGTGGAGGCAATGATTTGAGTTTCAATCCTGATGGCTCAGCTGTAAATCCCTCAGCTTTCCAGCAACATTTGCGTGGTGATCCTAATTTGATGACCCAACTATTTCAGGTATTGAAGTTTTACCCTCCAATATTATGCTGGGTTTCTTCTAGTTAAATTGAAAAATTAATTGATGAGCATGACTGCTATCGTTATCCTAGTTATCAAAGATAAAAAAAATTGTGAGTAAACTCTTGATTGCTAAGGGAGTGCTTGGATATTTTGGTTTTGATTGGTTTTTTTGGTTAACTATCGTTAACTTTGAAAAAGTTGGTTGTATTAGGTTTAAGTGGGATTTTAAGTTTGTATTAAAATAATATTTAAAATAAAATGATTAAAGTTGATTTGATATAGTAGTATGAGAGTGGTGATTAAAAGTGATGGGTAGTTAAAATTATGTGAGTGGATGAATATTAAAGTAGATGTGATGTGTAAAGATGTTTGATTTTTGATCAGTATTAATTAATTATATTGATAATATTGAGTATAGTGGAGTTGAGTTAAATTTGAATTAGATTTTGAGTTTAAAAAAGTGATTGGATATCGACTGGAAAATTTTTAACCAAGCATGCACTAAATCATGTATTGGCATGATTAACAAGGGAAAGGAGAAAAATTATTAGTAGGAAAGAGGTAGTTTGAAGTACAAGTTGCAAGAATGTGCTCAAAACTGGTACAGAGCTCTTTTTTCCAGGTCCTTCAGGACAATGTGCTTATGCACTTTAGAACTACAATGATTACTTGTAATATCTCTTCTCCTGTCTGGATTAGGATGAATACATCACCACAATACAATCCTGTGGCAGCATGTATGTACGGGTGCAAATAGTGTAGTGGGAAAAACTGATAAAGAAATCTTTGCAGTTTCTGTTCATTTGGTATTGATTAGGCTTCTGGCCAACCCTAGGTTTGATGATTCCATCCCATTTCGTTATAATCGCGTTTCCCACTCAAACTTGTGGTTTTTTCATTTATCAAATTGATTTATAGTCCCTTTTGAATACTTTAAGTTTAATGCAGTTGTTCACCTTTATAGTGTTTACCATGGAAAAGTGTTTTTTTTTTTTGGTTAAAAACAAATTCCTTATCTTTCTGCACAACTAATTTGGACTCCCTGCTGCTATCTGCGTGCTTTGTATCTATTGTGAAATTATCTATTGTTAGTGGTATACGTAACTTAAACGGACAGGACATGTTGGTTTGGACAGAGAAGCTGGTAATAGGGATGGAATTAACCAAAGGCATGGTTATGATTCTTTGTCACCTCCTCTAATTTCAAATCTGCTATATCACATTAAACTGTTAGTTGTCTTGTGGTGATAATGTTTGGAAATCACTTATTGTGGTAACTCGATGAATATTCAGGTCATTCGTACTTCCAACTTTACGATTATTATGTTTTTATGTATTTGCTTTAGAGTAAAGGTTATTTTTTTCCAGTGAAATGTTGTTATTGATTCTTCACGTACTATGTAAATTCAGAGTGATCCGGAGTTAGCACAAGTTGTTCTTGGAAATGATCTTAATCGGCTGCAAGATTTTTTGCGTGCACGAAACCGGCAGAGGTCTGAATTAATGCGTAAACAAGAAGAGGAAATGGTTAGTACATGTTTTGCTATTCTTTATCTTTTGGGTTTTGTCCCATTGTTAAATGTTTAGTTTTTTAATTATTGTGAGGCTGAATCTTTTGATCTATATAATAAGCCCATGTGTGCTGTGGATGTGCCTAATTGAATTACTTCCGTTAGATCTGTTCTATAACCGAAAGTGGGTACTTTTGTTTGGTTTTTCAAATTATGTAAATACATATAAGAGGGTATCCAAAATTAAACAATTTAAATGTTCTACAGCATTGGTTATCTGTATGAGGAGATTTATGGTTTGAAGAAGTTTGTCTTTGCTGCTTGCTTAAAACCTTTATCGATTATAACTTATAATTTTAATTATGTTAATTATTGCACACCATGTATGATCTTATATTATATTTCAAGGTGTCATTTTGCACTTGAAAGGATCCCACCTAAAGTATAGCCTAATTGTTTTTACGAGATCCAGTTTATCAATTATCTGTCCGAGATTCTTGTATGATATGAATTTATTATTGCATAGGCTTTACTTTATGCGGATCCTTTTGATGTGGAGGCCCAAAGGAAAATAGAAGCTGCTATTCGCCAGGTTTGACTTCCCTTATTTTAGAATTTGTTTTTTCCTTTTTTCTTGGAAATATCATAAATATTTTTTGGTCTGACAAATTGTTTTCGTTATTATCAGAAAGGTATAGATGAGAACTGGGCTGCTGCCTTGGAACACAATCCTGAAGCATTTGCTAGAGTGGTATTTGTTGTTGCTAGCTTAACTGTGTTACACACTTACACTACACGTTTAAATCTTATGACTAAAATAAACCTTTACATTTCCTTTTTACCAGGTAATGTTGTATGTAGATATGGAAGTGAATGGTGTTCCATTGAAGGTACTGACTTTGTAAAGTTATGAGATCTAATTTTGCTTAATTTCTCTTTTATAAACTTCCCCTCGACTACTCAAAATCAGGGAGAAAAAACTAAAGAAATTTGGGGCTTCTTTTATACGTCTAGGCCCATAAACATGGTGACTTTTCTTTGTGAGGGTATGCATTACTGAACCAGCCTAAGTAACATAGGGAAAAAAAAAATACTGTTCCTACATGAATATTAAGATCGATAGTCCTCAGCTTACTTTCCGATGAATTCCTAAGTTTCCACTTGGATAGAAAACCTATAATCTATTATAAACCATCCATATTGTCTTTCTTTCAGGCTTTCGTTGACAGTGGAGCTCAGTCAACAATTATATCTAAAAGCTGTGCCGAACGTTGTGGGTAGGATGATATTTCTTGCTTTCTCTTTCATAATATATTCTATTAGGCTGTATGGTTTTCTGTAGGTATGGATAGTGATGACTATTTTACTCTTCTTTTAGACTGCTTCGGCTTTTGGATACTCGGTATAGGGGAATAGCTCATGGAGTTGGTCAATCTGAGATTTTAGGTCGTATACATGTTGCGCCTATCAAGGTATTTCCAGTATATGCATGGCTTGGTATATCTTGAATTAAAAAAAAAAAAAAAACCATTATTTTAAAATTTTTGACATGTTTACTTGTAATGTGCTGTAGATTGGAAATATATTTTATCCTTGCTCTTTTGTGGTCCTCGATGCACCCAACATGGAGTTTCTCTTTGGCTTGGATATGCTTCGCAAGCACCAAGTAATATTTTATTTTGTTTTATTGCGTTCCTTCTATCTATTTTTATCGAACTTTTACATGGATTTAATTGGAATACCATGGTTTTGCAGTGCATTATTGACCTGAAGGATAATGTGTTGAGAGTTGGTGGAGGCGAGGTTGCCGTACCTTTTCTGCAAGGTACTTATTTGCCATTTTTTTTATTCCATTTATTTTCTACGGTAATTCTTGATTCTTAAGTCGCTATGTTATATGTGTGAATCGTGCATCATTCTTTAAAAATCCGTAAAACTTCAGAGAAGGACATTCCATCACAGTTTATGGATGAAGAGAGGCATGCCAAGGAAGCTACCAGCTCTGGAGCACTAGTAAGTTTTTGTTTTATAAATTGTCCCTTGTGGTTTCTCTCAAATTGGAATTCTTAAAAAATGAATAGAAAAACATCTTGGAATTTTGTTATGCTCTAAATTTAGGATTCTTACATTTTTCCGAGCGTTCTGATAAAATTTCCTCTGATTTTCAGGCAGCGTCTGCAACTAAAGAAAACACTAGTGCACCAGGCGGACCTTCTGGTTAGTTCCGGAATTTTCCGAAGAATTTTTTTTTTTTAGCTGTGAATCTGCATGAATGACTTTATGTCAGCTTGTCGGACTCCTTCATTGACCTTTCTTCTGGTCATACTGAATCCAAACACCTGCAGCTTCATTTATTCATCCATGTAAAATCGCCTTTTCCTTTAAAAAGTATTTTTTTTTTCCCTATTTCGAATACAGGAAGTGCTGGCAAGAACAATTTACAGGTACGCGCCATTGTAATGTGGAATTATTTTTACTTCGAATTATTCTGCGCCTTTGTAGTTATGATTGCGTAATTTGATTTTGATCGACATATGTTAACAGGGAGCAGAGTTTGAAGGTAAAGTTGCTAAGCTAGTCGAGCTAGGGTTCGGGAGGGAAGCAGTAATTCAAGCTTTGAAGCTTTTTGACGGCAACGAAGAACAGGCTGCCGGATTTCTATTTGGGGGCTGAAAGCCATCCTAGTAGAAGATATATATTTATTTTATTTGAATTTTTTTCTTTTTCTTATGGAATTTGTGTAACACTAAATCACACATTGGATTAATCAAGAACTGTGGGAACAATTCTTTCAGTTGTGTGAGTTGGACCTACTGTTGTTGATTTATAGAAAATCGGATATTTGACGTCGTGATTCGAAACAGAATTATGTTATCTTCATGGTTAATGAATGAAGTACCTTGAGGTTTAATTTAGGTTTGTGTTTGATGAAGTTATTTATAATGTACTTTATGATCTGTATCGATTGAGTACGAAAGAATCGACTTTTGAAAATGCGACCAAAAACATGGAAAGTTGTCCAAACGGCCGAGAAACCACCATGAAAATCAAGAAAGTGAAAGGACTTAGTGTTATGTATATGCATAAGGTTAAGCTTCAGTACGTATAATTGAGATTGTGAACGAGGGGGCGCCTCATTTATTATAAAATGCAAAGACAGTCATTTTAAGCAAGATTATTTCAATAGGATAGTACAACCTTGACAGACTGCTTTTCCTTATTAGAGGACTTCTTCTTGCTCGAGTTTTTCTGCTCCAGCAAGGTAGTACAAGCATTCATTATCGGGGTTTTCCTTGAAAACTTATGGTTGTCCTTTTCAATACCCAGATGAATAACAAAGTCTTAAAGACTCATTTCCTTCATTTCTCTTAAGTTCGAAGTAGTTCTTGAAATCTTTCTAACTCGGCGGTAGTCTCTCCATCACAACAGCTACTTGGAACAACTCGCTCAGAGTTATTACTCAACAAAACATAATTTGCAGATATTGATCGGAATATTGAAAATTAGTAGACAATAAAGAAAGGATAACTTATACATACTACAATTTTTTAAACATTTTACATAGATACTTACCTTTTTAAATATATTGCACATATATATAAAAAATACACTTTCATTATAAAATTACTTACTATTATCTCTTTTAAGTTTATATTTAGTTTATTTGTAATTTATAACATGTTTATATTAACAAATCTCGTTACATGACTAAAAAATTGTGTTTGTAAAGTAATAATAATCGTCAAATAAACATTGAAATAAAAAAATCACACGAAATATAAACCTTCAACTTCTCAAATTCATCCCCAAATTCATGTCCAAAACCCTGACACGAGAGTATAGAATACTCGATAATAATGTAATTTTATTCAATCATTTACCAACTTCTTCATCATATGATTACATAATTTATAAGAATTCTTGTGACTTTTTCAATGACCCCTAATAATGTTTCTAGTTTTTAGCTAATGTTGAATGCTTCTTTGATTTTGGCACTTTGACTACTACAAACTTCCATACTAACTTTAAGATAACATAATAATATGAAGAGTCACATAAGCATGTAACTCATGTACGACGTCTACGACGCTCGTATTTTTCCATAAACGCCAAAGCAAGTTCGTCTCCATCATCCTCCCCCGGTTGGGAAGGATTTCGCTCTCGAATTTGAAATAAGCTCGTCTTCGTCCGCTTTATCGCCCAAATATGGCACGAAACGTACCGATACCGGAGTAGTACCCAAGGCGGAATCGCCAATCATTTTCTCCTATTGCGCACGAAGGTTGAATACCGCCCAACCAGTTCAACACTCCCCTCCAAAACTGCCAAACATTTAGCCGCCCAAAATGAAACAACTAGTGCACCAGCAAACTTCATGACAATAACGTGTTCTAGGAAAACTTTGACCTCTCTATATTCATATAATTCAATTAGCCTTTGCATGTCCACTACAAGAGCACCGGTAGCAGCAGGGGTAGGGCTGTAAACGAGCCGAGCCGAGCTCGAGCTTAAGGTGTTTGAGCTCGAGCTCGAGCTCTTAACGAGCCGAGTCGATCTCGGCTCGTTAAATAAACGAGCCAAAAATCAAGCTCGAGCTCGGCTCGTTAAGGCCCCGAGCTCGAGCCTTAACAAGTCGGTCTCGAGCTTCAACGAGTCGAACTATAAAAAATTACATAAATTTCACTTTTCGAGCCTTATCGAGCCGAGTCGAGCTCGGCTCGTTAAACAAACGAGCTTTAAATGAGCTCGAGCTTGGCTCGTTAAGGCTTCGAACTCGAGCTGAACCGAGCCTTAACGAGCCGAGCTCCAGCCGAGCCGAGCCAGGCTCGTTTAATTTAACAGCACTAAGTAGGGGAATCCAATCCAGAGACGCCCATTTGGTTAGTGTGTTCAAAAAACTTCCTATCTTGAAATTGCAAGAGGATGGTATCTTCTGGTCCAAAGTTCACCACGTCAAATGCTCCAATACTAAGAATGAAAGATATCCTCTCTATGTCCCCGCAAAGATGTTTCTCCGTCAATGGAACCTCTTCATCAAAGATCGGCAGACCATAGTAGAAATCACCCGCGTCGGGGTCGAAATCCTGAGATTCCTCATCAAAGACTGGCAGGCCATCGTAAAAAGATTGGTCGCCTAAGTCACCATGCACGCCGTCATCCTCCCGATGATGCGTGCCGTGTTCATCCCCGTTGAATCGTCCTTCGTGAACCTCGAAAAGATTCACATCAGACTTCGATTCATCTTCATAGAACTCCTCGTCGTCGAACTGTGGAGGCGGACGGTGGTGGGGCGCCCCACCGGGACCG